TTATATTAAAGGAGGTTAAACTGGAATCAGATAAATGATCATCAACTTGTAAAGAAACCTGTTGTTCATGTTAGCAGGCATCATAAAAGTTTTCCAAGTTTTACGTAATGAAACTATTTTCTCAGTTCACTGGCTCCCTTTGCCTAAATCCGAGAAGGGATGTTCATTTAGGGTGGTAGCCTAAAGCTACTCAGATCAGAGGCTCCTGAAAATGATTGATCCAAAAAATGCTACAAGAGGGGCATGGTGCGGGGAGAAGAAATAATACTTTCCTCTGGACACTTGTTTGATTCTCATTCGCCAAGCAGAAGTTCCCTTCTGCAACAATTATACAGTGGTGGAGAGCTCCCAATGTCTGTGAAGAAAGACAGCAGGACCTCATTAACAGGAGGCAGATATACCGTATTTTTCGCTCTATAACACGTACCCGACCATAACACGCACGTAGTTTTTAGAGGAGGAAAATCCGTAGGCATGCCACCCGTAGGCATTCCCTCCATAACACGCACAGACATTTCCCCTTACTTTCTAGGAGGGAAAAAGTGAGTGTTATGGTGCAAAAAATACGGTAATCGGTTTGTAACAGGCCAAATACTGTGTAGAGGGAGAACAAATACCATGGTCCACAAGTGAAAGGAAAGTTCATTCAGAAGAGCATGAAACGGAGGCACAACTTCATAGGCCCTCCTAAAATAAATCTTGGCTGGACCCTTGCGGTTACCTGAACGAAGAGCACCTTTCACAACAATAATTGGCCAGCCTGTCCTTTTCCTTCTCCTTTCCAACGTAGAGGATGACTAAGCCATTTACTTAATTACTTACTTACTTACTTAAGGTAAAGGGACCCCTGACCATTACGTCCAGTCGTGGCCGACTCTGGGGTTGTGGCGCTCATCTCGCTTTATTGGCCGAGGCATACAGCTTCTGGGTCATGTGGCCAGCATGACTAAGCCGCTTCTGGCAAACCAGAGCAGCGCATGGAAACACCGTTTACCTTTCCGCCAGAGTGGTACCTATTTATCTACTTTTCTTTGATGTGCTTTAGAAATGCTAGGTTGGCAGGAGCAGGGACCGAGCAATGGGAGCTCACCCCGTTGCAGGGATTCGAACCACCGACCTTCTGATCAGCGAAGCTAAGATAACAAAGAGAAAGAGAGCTCAAAGTCTGTTCTGGTAGAGGGTTTAGGCTCATGGTCAGAGGAAGTAGAGCTTGAAGGGTTAGAGAGAAAACCCATAGCAGACCTTTGGGACCAGAGTCTTGAGAGAAGCCTAGCCAGAAAGAACAGTACTGAGAGGAAATTTCCCGTATTTTGTTAATTTATTGATAATTCTCACTCACACAATATGCCACCCAAAAAGATAAGAAACCCTGTGAGGGAAACAACTTATGAAAGCTCTGGAGGAGAGGAGAATGGAAATCCTCAGAGAGTAGAGCAGAGTTTAGAAAATGTAACTAATATCAAACCTCAGGCAGGAGATCCAAAATTCACTGAAGGATTTGTAAAATGGAAGTTAGAACAAGAATATAAATTGGAATTAGAAAAGATTAGATCTGCACAAGAAATAGAAAGAATTAAAGCTGAGAGCGAAAGACTTAAGGCTGAGAAGGAGAGTGAAAGACTTAATAAGGCTGAGCAGGAGAGCGAAAGAATTAGGGCTGAAAGTGAGAGTGAAAGAATGCAATTTCAGTTGGAAATGAGGAAACTGGAATTAGCAGCTATGGAGAATCAAAATAATAGTAATAACACCAGTAGTCCAACTCAAGTGAAGGTAGATTTAAAGCGCTTTCCTGAGTTTAAGGAAAAAGATTGCCCTGAGGCTTTCATTATACCCTTTGACGATCCTTAGAGCCAGGATCAGTGGGTCATTAGCTGTAATTTATTCTCAAATGTCGGAGACCGATTAAAATATCTTATAAAGGAAAGACACCCTCAATCACTTCAAGAAGCCGCTAACTTAGCTGACCAAATAAACAAAATAAGGGACCATAGGTTTGATGAACCGAGTTTTGGCGGGAAAGTGTGGGGGACTAACAGAAATAAATTCCAACAAGCAAAGGGAAACCCCTCTTCAGAGAAAGACAAGGGAGATTGGCCATTGTCAAAAGGGCAAAATGACAAGGCCCAAGCCAACGCCAGTCTCACTGAGGAGAAAGGATGGAAAACAAACTATACAAATCCCAAAGGAGTTCAATGCTGGGGATGTGGAAAATTTGGCCACAAAAGATTTAATTGTAGATCTGGAGGAGAAAAGTCTGGTAATCTAAGCCCTCAGAGAAGAACCTTTTGTATCAAAGAAGCTGAGGAGAGCCAAGCTAGTCAGGACAGGCCGAAGCCTGCTGAAGTAGGGGAGGCTAAAGTGGCACATTGCTATGCTATAAAACAAGATAATCTTCTTTTTAAAAATGCTGGGGAAGATATTGGGATTGATGGGAAGAGATTTCTGGGGTTAAAAGACACCGGGTCTCAAGTCACTATTGTCCACCCAGAGATCATCTGTCCCACCAAAATAATTCCAGGGAAAGTTATGAAATTAAAAGGAATTTCAAAACACCCTGAGGTATTACCAGTTGCAGAAATCCATATTAAATTCCAAGATTGGTCAGGGAAGTGGCAGGTTGCTATTTCTGAGGAGATTCCTACCACTGTGCTGATCGGATGGGATCTCTTAGAGCATGTACAGAGTTCTTTTGTAGTTACTCGCTCCAAGGGGGGTCAACAGTCACTCGATGCTGAGGGGAATGCTACTGTTGCCCAAGGAGACAGAGCTGAGGAACAGAACTCTGAGGGGAGAAAACCAAGCCCTGCTAGTCCCTTTTGTAAAAAGCCAAAAACATAGTTTTGCCCAAGAACAGAAAGAAGATGCCGATTTAGTTAATTGTTTTGAGCAGACAAATCAGATGAAGCCGATATAACATGCTGGGAAGGGAGAGGGGATCAATTGTGCAATCTACAAGAAATAAAGATAGCTCCTACATTAACCCTTAATCAGCAGGTGGAGGTTAAGCAGATCCTACAAGATTATAAAGACATTTTCAGTAACACTCCAGGTAGAGCTATAAAGGAGTTATACATCATATCGACACTGGGGATGCTAAGCCTATTGCTGTCAACCCCTACAGAATAACTGGAGAGTATGTGGGGAAAGTTAGCAATGAGGTAAGGGCGACGCTGAAGGCAGGGATGATAACCCCTTCGGAAAGCCGCTGGGCAGCACCCATAGTGTTATTAGACAAACCTGATGGATCTATTAGATTTTGACTGGATTATAGGAAGCTGAACCGTGTCACTAAAGCGGATGCATATCCAATGCCCCGTTTAGATGACCTGATCGAAGCTATAGGCCAGTGTCATTACATCACCTGCCTAGACTTGACAAAGGGGTACTATCAAGTAGAAATGGACCCTAGGGACTAGGAGAAAACTGAGTTCAGAAGTCCCTTAGGGCTGTTTGAGTTTAAAGTAATGCCCTTTGGCTTAAAGAATGCGCCAGCAACTTTTCAGCGATTGGTGGACAAAATCCTGAACGGATTAAGAGAGTTCACAGTTGCTTATTTGGACGATATGGCTGTGTACAGTCCAACTTGGGAGAAACACAAAGAGCACTTAGGGATAGTGCTACAGCGAATTAAAGAGGCGGGCTTGACCATCAAAGCCAGCAAATGCCAGATAGGGGTCTCGACTATTCAATTCCTGGGACACATGGTGGGAGGAGGAGGGATGAAACTTTTAGAGACAAAGGTAGAAGCCATTTCCAACTGGCCTACCCCTACCTCCAAGAAGAAAGTCAGAGCGTTCCTAGGACTAGCCGCTTATTATCGCAAATTTATTCCAAAATTTAGCGAGATAGCAGTGCCTTTATCTGTCCTAACGCGGAAGAAGGAGCCAGACAAGATTAACTGGACAGCAGCATGTCAGCAGGCGTTTGACGCCTTAAAAAGCGCCTTGACATCACATCCAGTCCTTGTTGCTCCTGATTATGATCGTGAGTTCACCGTCTTCACCGATGCATCCAATGCCGGGATCGGGGCCGTGCTGTGCCAACAGGGAGAGAAGGGCGACCTGCATCCCATCACCTTCATAAGCAAGAAACTACTACCAAGGGAAAGACATTATTCGACCATCGAGAAGGAATGCCTTGCCATCGTGTGGGCATTACAGAAACTGAAGCCGTACATCTGGGGCCGAACTTTCACTTTATGTACTGACCATTCCCCCTTGCTGTGGCTGAGAACCATGAAGACCAACAGTAAGCTGATGAGGTGGGCCCTATCACTGCAAGACTTTAATTTTACGTTTAAAAATGTGAAAGGGACCCTGAACACCGTTGCAGACGCCTTATCCAGAAGACCTGCAATTGAAAGTTAAGTGAATGCTTAAGATGTAACAGGCTTTTGTATATATGTGTATTTTACCAGAACACAGTGTTTGATGTACAAATGTTAGGTGTGAAGTGAAGGGTGAAATGACAGGTTAGGAAATGTTTATTTGCCATAAAGATGTACTGCTGATTGATCAGGAGAATAACTAGGTTAAGTTATCCCTCCTGAGTCAATCTTCTTAAGGGGGGAGGAATGTGGCGTTTGCTTGGTGGGATGGGTCATGGGAAAGGGTTAAAATGGGTGTGATGTGATTGGCCAGTGAGAATGCAAGGGGGGAGTAAAAGTTAGAGTGGGAGACTTTGAAAGTCAGTTGAGGTTTGGGAGTTTAAGAAGGAAGAGGGAGGATTAGGTGTGGGTTGGCAGAGATGTATTGTGAGAGGAATTGTCAGGTGGAGTCAGATAGATAGTTGGGAAAAATCAGTTTGGAGTTGTTAGGAACTAAGATTAAGAAACTGACAAGAGAAAAATAAACTGAAACCATACGCTTGTTCCTGCATTTAAAAATAAACTTGATTATTTGTTAATATTAACAGCTGTCTGGACTCCGTGTGTCCCCGTGAGAAGCATGGTGGTGGCAGCGAAGAAAGCAATCACAGTGGTGGCACAGGGTCAATAGACTGTCAAACGTCCGGGGGCCCTGTGTGATCGCCACAGTAAGTAAGTAAGTAAATGGCTTAGTCATCCTCTATGGTGTAAAGGAGAAGGGAAAGGACAGGCTGGCCAATTGTTATTGTGAAAGGTGCCCTTCCTTCAGGTAACCACAAGGGTCCAGCAATGTGATGGGAACAGGTGAGGGGTGAGTTATTTACCTGAGGGATACACCCCCCTGGCACTGCCTATTCTCCTCATAAACTTTTTGTTTGATCCAAGCGATCTCCTTGTGAAACATGAATGCAGCAGATCTGAATGTTTGCGATCTGTAGTTGGGATCCTACTTCTGTGGAAACTGCTATGACTACCAGATTTCAGCAATATCTTCCCAGAAGCATGTGATTTTGGCAACATTCTCCTCCATGTCAGCCTAAGTCAAAATCTTCCAAACAAATTTAAAATATGGGAAGCATAGGTGCAGCCAAGATTTATTTTAGGGGGGTCGGCTATGAAGTTGTGCCTCCGTTTCTTCCTCTTATGAATGAACTTTCCTTTTACTTGTGGACCATGGTATTTGTTCTTCCTCTACACAGGATATGGCCTATCACAAACTGATTGTATCTGCCTCCCATTCATTTGTCCTGCTGTCTTCACTGACATTGGGAGCTGTCCACCACTGTATAATTGTTGCAGAAGGGAACTTCAGCTTAGCAAAGGAGAATCAAACAAGTGTCCAGAGGAAAGTATTATTTCTTCTCCCCGCACCATGCCCCTCTTGTGGCATTTCTTGGATCAATCATTTTCAGGAGCCTCTGATCTGAGTAGCTTTAGGCTACCACCCTAAATGGACATCCCTTCTTGGATTTAGGCATAGGGAGTCAGTGAACTGAGAAAATAGTTTCATTACGTAAAACTTTTATGATGCCTGCTAACATGAACCATAGGTTTCTTTACAAGTTGATGATCATTTATCTGATTCCAGTTTAACCTCCTTTAATATAGCATTTTTCTGCTATATCCATTTGTTTTCCATTAAACCTTTATTATTTCCTCTATTATGTAAAAACTGCATCAATACAAACTCATCTCTCCTCCCTTCCTCTTCCCTCCATTCTGTGTCTTAGAGCCATTTTATTCCATCAGAAACAGAAATAAGCAGGTGTCATAATAAGGTTTTTCATTAATTAAACAACCACTGGCAGTACAAAGTATTTCTAATGCAACCTTTTTATTACACAGAATGTCATTTTGATAGAGCAGTGCGTACCAGCTACCTGTTCCATTCGTTACACAAAGCACCAGTTACTTAAGTGGTCCCTGAATACATGGTACTTTGATTGCAAGCTTAATTGGTTGCACAGCCAGTTGTTTCCATACTTTGTCCATTGCAAAAGACACCTATGGCAGAATCAGGTTAGGGTGGCACATCCCTTATTCCCCCAAATGGCTGTGAACTTTTCCAAAATCAGTGCTGATGATACTGGTGCTTCTCCTCCACTGGCAGAAGCATCAGGGCAGGAGGGGCATCCATGGGCATTGTGCCTGGTTGGGGGCTTCTGCAAGCTTAATTGGTTGCTTTGCTCTGTGAGGTTTTGCCAATTCTTCTTGGTCGAATTCTTCAATCACATGGTATTTGATTGTTTAGATCAATATGCAGTTTCATCTATTGTTTATCTCAGTGGAAAGGGATTACCATAACTGTCCATCCTAAAACTTCAATAGCTGCTGGACATTTGCTCAGTGTGATTTTCTCCCCTCCATCTTAATAATAATAATAATAATTTTTATTTATATCCCGCCCTCCCCAGCCAAAGCCGGGCTCAGGGCGGCTAACAACAATCAAATAAACAATCAAATAATAACACATTCTAAAAATATTTCATTATAAAAATTAGTTAAAATCAAATTGATGGCAACCGATTAAACAAAATTCTGTGCAGGTTGCCAGAGGAGGGAGTCAGGCTGCGCCCTGACCAAAAGCCTGGCGGAACAACTCTGTCTTGCAGGCCCTGCGGAAAGATGTCAGGTCCCGCAGGGCCCTAGTCTCTTGTGACAGAGCATTCCACCAGTTTGGAGCCGCAGCCGAGAAGGCCCTGGCTCTAGTTTGAATCTTGTTTGAATAGCTGAGGGTTAAAAGGTAAAGGACCCAGTCCAGTCGCGAACGACCCTGGAGTTGCTGAGCTCACCTTGCTTTACTGGCTGAGGGAGCCTACATTTGTCCACAGACAGTTTTTCAATGTCATGTGGCTAGCATGACTAAGCCGCTTCTGGCGAAATCAGAACAGTGCACACAAACACCTTTTAACTTCCCGCAGGAGCAGTACCTATTTATCTACTTGCATTTTTTGGTGTGCTTTCGAACTGCTAGGTTGCCAGGAGCTGGGACCGAACAACGGGAGCTCACCATGTAACGGGGATTTGAACTGCCGACGTTTTGATTGGCAAGCCCAAGGCTCAGTGGTTTAGACCACAGCGCACCCGTGTCTGTTAGCTGAGGATTAGGTTGCATATATTCCTTGCGAAGGGATCCATATTCAGGTTCAAGCACCTTGCGCATGAAAGCACCAGGCCTGAGCATGAAAGCTCAAATGAAACCTCAAAGCAGAGAAGGTTAACTCATCGGCCTTTGGATGTTTCTGATCTGGAGATCCCATCACCCCTGATCTTTAGTCACAAATAACAGGGACTCCAAGGAGCGCAGGACAGAAGAGTGAAGCAGCTTCAGAAACAGGGTTGGGAAGGGGGAAAGGGGGCTTAGTCATCTCCTAGGGTGGAAAGGAGAAAGGAAAGGACAGGTTGGCCAATTATTATGGGGTGCAGAGTGGAACATGGCAGGTGGAGCAAGCAGAGAAGCAGAGCCCCTCATGTTTGAAAATATTTTTGTAAGTTGCTTTGAGTCTAGTTAGAAAAAGGTGTTTGCGAAAAAGGATGATGATGATGATTGCAAGAATGAGAAAAAGGACAAGAGAGCATGTGAAGATTGCCTTTCCTTCAAGTAAGCAAAGAGTCCATCATTTCACCTTTGAAATCTCCTTGCCCTGCATGTCCCACTCAACCTCTTCAATCGGTGGACTTGAATCTTTCTTTTTCTTTTTGGAAGACCTGCTTGAAGCTATTACTACTCCCAGTGCTATTTCATGGGGGGATGCAGGGGTAACGCATACCCCTAAACATTTTGTGAATCTAAGTTTGGCCAGATTAAGAATGATCATTGTGGGAGGTGAGCATGTGAAAAGTCCCCTTCCTTCACGTAACCGCAAGGGTCCAGCAATGTGGTGGGCACAGGTGAGGGGTGAGTTATTTACCTGAGGGATACATCCCCCTAGCACTGCCTATGTGGGGCATTGCATCCTCCTCATAAATGTTTCATTTGATTCAAGCTATCTCCCTCTGAAACATGAATACAGAACATCCTGAATGTTTGTGATCTTGTGTGGAAACTGCTATGACTGACAGAATGCAGGAATGCCTTTGCAGAGGCACGTGATTTTGGCAACATTCTTGTCCACGTCAGCCTAAGTCACAACGTCCCCAAAAAATTTCATTTATGCAATCTGCTTCTACCTCCCAGCCCTCTCTTGGCAAGCTTTGGGGCTCCATTTGGTTTAAAAGCTGGCTTTGCCTGGCTTTGTCACCACAATTCATCCTGAGCCATGAAGATCCTTCACCTGTGCTTGGCAGTTCTCTCTTTGCTGCTCCTGGCTTCCCCAGGTAAGGGATGGAGAGGAAGAAGACAGAGGGACACCTGCCAGCCTATTATGGGGTGGAAGAGGGAGAGGAGTACAGTTGCTGTTCTGTGGCCTTGCAAAGGAAGCTCACTTTTCTTGCTAGAGACATTTCTTTAGTGGTAAAATTAGCATAAAAATGTATATATCAGACAAAACTGCTTACCAAAGTGTGTCTATTAGGGGATATATGCACTGTGTTGGTGAATTTCCCCCATTATGCCCATAATTGCTATGCAATTTGCCCTGTTATAACCTATATTTTCATGCTATTGTCATGAAATTACACTTTTTCATGTACATTTTTAAAATACATTACTTGGAGGGAGAGCTGCCTTTCAGAGGACGGCTGTGCTTTGATGTTCACATGTTGACTTCATTATGGCAGAGTAATATAAGGAAAAGGGGACGTGGGTGGCCCTGTGGTTTAAACTACTGAGCCTCTTGGGCTTGCTGATCAGAAGGTTGGTGGTTTGAATCCCCACGACGGGGTGAGCTCCCGTTGCTCGGTCCCTGGTCCTGCCAACCTAGCAATTTGAAAGCACATCACGTGCAAGTAGATAAATAGGGACAGCTCTGGTGGGAAGGGAAACGGCGTTTCCGTGTGCTGCTCTGGTTCACCAGAAGCAGCTTAGTCATGCTGGCCACGTGACCCGGAAGCTGTCTGTGGTCAAACGCCGGCTCCCAGAGTTGTCTGCAACTGGAATTAACTGTCAAAACAGTCCTTTACCTTTTTTTTAATATATGGAAAATGGCATCGCATGTAAAACTGGTAAGGAAAAACAAAAGGAGCCTCTTCTTTTCTCAGTTTGGTAAGATTTTATGCAATTCTATGCAAATTTATGGAATACGTTTTAGAAAATAAAATTTTGATTTGTCTCTTCCACAGGTCTGCCAATAAATTTGGGGTATAAAGTTTCTAATTAGTGGAAAATGTTTCTTGATGTAATATAGAGCCTTTTATTCTGGGTAGTCCTAGGGGCTCTGATGGCTTCAGTTCCAGGCTTTAGTTTCTCTATAACGTATAAGCCATGTGTGCCTCACTTCTTGCTGTCGTGTTTCGTGGACTGACACCCTCCACTCATGAGCAAATATCTGGATAAGCACATTTACCATTTCTCCTTGTGAATGAAGCAAGGGTGGTAAACACCAGGGGCCAGTGGCAAGGGGTGGGGTGGGGGGTAGGAGTTGGGATGCCACAGCACCCAGAGCGTCACAGAGCCACTCCTGTTCAAAGGGCTGTGCAGTTGTTCCTCTCTTTCATTCTATTGTGATTTAACTTCCTTCTCCCCACTTTTGTTTGTTTCTCTCTTTGCACAGGATCTGCACAAAACCAGGAACCTCAGAATATTTGGGATTGCTATCATAAGGCCAATGGTGTTTGCTTACCTCGAGGTTGTCCCAATAATTCTAAAAAGATTGGAAGGTGTACTCCTAGAATTCCATGTTGCGACCGGTAATTTCAGCTTACCAAAAGGTAATTTCAGCTCACCCATTACTCCCTGGATTGATCATTTTAAGTACCCAATGCAGCGTCCCCTAAACTGATCATCCTTTGCCTGCAAGCTCAATTCCCCCATTGCAAAAATAAATATAAAAATACCTATGCCAGAATCAGCCAAGGGTGGCACATCCCATATTGCCGCTTGATGCAAAATGTTAATTGCTGCTTTGCCATTCTGCCAGCACGGCTCCTAAGCCCATCTACCTGCTCCTCCTGCCATGGACTGATCTGCCACTGACACACACCATACCCTGTTGATTGCAGGCACAGAAGCGGCACTACCATTGTTGCCCATTTTAAGCAAGATTGTGCTGAGTTCTTTCGCCACAGGCAGAACCAGCGGGGCAGGAGGGGCACCAATGGGTTTGTTGTCTGGGGGGCTTCTGCCAGCAGAAGCAGGGTCCTCACCTGCCTCATGGCTGGTCCAGCTGTCTTTGGCCCCTTTGCCCTCTGAGCTTATGCCAGATCTCCTTTGCCAAATCCCTAAACCACACCAGAGGGGCACATTTAATTTGTTGTGCGGCTTCATCCATTGTTTATCTCAGTGCCTAAGGGATGTCTATTCTGCAGCTTTAACAGATGCTGGGCTCTTACTCTGTGTGGTGTCCTGCCCTCCACCATTTAAGATTACCTCAGTATCACATCCCATACATTCCATGCAAATCTCCCACTTTCAGTTCCAAGCAGATTCATTCTTATTTTATCTTTTAATTAAAGAACTTGAGGCAGTAGACTTTTGTCTTGGGTGTATACAGAGAAATTAGCAACTGGACTGAATGAACCCAAGGGTGTCCGTTCTCTTGTGTTTCTCAAAACACTCTCACAAAATGGGGTGCAAGCTTCCTGTTAACCCTGAACTCTTCTTCAGGGCCACAAAGACAAGAAATCCCTGCCGTGCATAACATCCAGTCTGCAGGAGAATATTGGAGACCTTGAAAGCTCACTCACTATTCTGTGACATATTTAATTTTACCTAGAAAAGAAAGTCCCCCAGGGATAAGGATGGGCTAGAGACTGCATTCAATTCTCATTGAAAGGGGAATCTATGTAATTCATAGCTTCTGGAAATGAAAAACTGAAACAGACCTATCCCTAACCAATGGTTTATTATCAGGAAAACTTTCTTGTGGTCCAACATGCCTTGCTTTGTATTTTTGTGTCTCAAACATGGTCACTTTGCTATGAAACCGAGTTAACTGTTGTCTTTTTGTTGCTGGTTTCTATGTTTTAGACGGGAGGAGTGATAGATGCCTTTGAAAAGTGGAAGATGCTCCCTCTCTTTGAGAGCCGCTGGATCCCGCTTCATCCCCAGTTAGGGACTTCTTCTCCAAAGCATCCAGATTGAAAAAGCAACATTTTCAAGGCTTACCTGAGCTTGTGCCTTGCAATAAAAGCAGATCCAAAAGCCTTTCCCCCTCTGTTTTTCATTTCTAAGCATGAGTGTTATTGCTAGTGAAGCCAAAATGGCACCTTACATCCATGAGAAGGAGGTGTCAGCAAGCATGGTTTGTGAAGAGACCCAAAATGCCATAAGAAAGGAAGACTAAAAGGGGATGAGGATCTCTATACAGTCTAGTGAGTAGGACTGGGCCACAATGTGGAAAATGAAGAGTGGTAAAATATGGAGGGTGGAATGGGAGGGAGAAGAAGAAGTTTCCTTTTAAATAGGAACCAATCTGAGTTGTACTCTTTGAAAAAGTATGCCAGTTGAAATTTAGTCATCCTTCCAAATTCACAGGTCTCTGAATTTTGGGGTTATTGAACTGACCAGACCAGATCTGGAAGTTTCCTCTTATAGATTCTAGGATTACAGGATGGGAAGTAGCCCTGGCTTTTACAGAAACTAGCCCCACAAAGCCCACTCATTACAGTATGTTGGGCATAATTGCATGCACATGTGCCTACCTGGAAGAATTCTTCATCCTAGGATCCCATGGCTTCCAGTTGGGTGAGATAAGAGAATGCACATCCATTCCTCTCTATGGCAACAGAGCTCACTCTTTTAAGATGTGAATGGTGGGTACTTAGCTCAATGGCTATATACCTCCAGACATAATTTTATGGGAGTGGTGCCTTTCCATAGTTCATACCATGCTTGAGGTGGCTTGCAAGATGGAAAATAATAATAATTACAACATAAAAATTTAGTCTTAAATCATTCAAAAACACACAAACTGAACAAATTAGACATAATTTATTGGATCCGAAATAAAGACACTAAAAGGTTTGCTTCTGGAGATCTGCAGACATCCTGACTACACTTAAGATGGGTGGGGTATAAATACAGTGGTGTGCCTTATTAGACTTTACTGATTGGTGGGCTCTGTGTTGCTCCCGGACAGGAGTAAGGATGTCCAATGACACCGAGGGTTGGTTCAGAGAAAGAGTTCTTTATTTCTGCTCTCCGGAAAAGCAGAAAGGCACTTGCGTGGTCAGTCCACAGCAAGTCCAAAGAAATGAGAAATTTCATGCAGTATATATATCCTCCTGGCACCCTCTCCCTCCTTCCCCAGGAATCCAACCACGTCAGCCTATACACGCAGGTTGACATCACATATGTTCCTGCTCCGGTATTTTTAACCATAAAAGGGTATTCCTTCCTGTACTTCTGACCATAAAAGGGTATTTCTGTTCTTCTACTCTTGGAGCAAGAGGTCACCAACTCCAAGAACACACTCTGGCGCTGTTCCCGGACTAGGTCTGTGCATCTTTGTGCTCTTTGTGGTCAGGATGTAAGATAAGGCCCAGAGTGTCATCCCTGTTCCACTCTGGAATGGACAAAGCCATCCGTCATTACCAGCCTTCATAGACTGATAAGAGAGAGAACTTTGAGCACTTGTTTATACAGCTGGGTTTTGGCTCAAGAGCTCAAGTTAAAGCATTTTAGCTCAGGTAAAATAGGGATTTTGGTGCAGTTTCAAACTGCCTGCACTGTCAGTTTTGGGTTTGGGAAACCCATTCCTTCAATGGTACCTCTAGTTACAAACTTAATTATTTCTGGCGATCCATTCTTAACCTGAAACTGTTCTTAACTAGAGGTGTGCTTTCGCTAATGGGGCCTCTTGCTGCCGCTGCGCTGCCGGCACACGATTTCCATTCTCATCCCGGGGCAAAGTTCTCAACTCGTGGTAACTCTTCCAGGTTAGCGAAGTTTGTAACCAGAAATGTTTCTAACCTGAGGCGTTTGTAACTGGAGGTACCACTGTAGTAAAATTATTATTCATAATAAAACAGGATGTCCCTATTTTCATGGAAGGAATTTGGGAGGATTTCTTGAGAACAGCAAGGGACCCTATATGGAGAAAGCAATGGGGAGACTCCATCTGTTTCTCTTCTTCCAAGAATCACAACTATAATTCAGTGTCCCCAACTCTTCCCCCTTGTGTCCTGCCCTGAAGGCCACAGCCTGCTGGCCTCTCTTGCCCATCTGTGCTGTGGCTGGCCTGTTTCTCCTTTGATCTCCTAGCGTAGAGTTTGGAGGTGACTTCTAATCCTAAAGTCCAAGAGAGAAGTGTGAAGAGGAGCAGGAAGATGTAAAACAGGGTGAAAGCTAAGATGTATCAGCCTAAAGAACAAAGAGATTCAGAGGTCCGCTGAGAGTGGAGGAAGCACACCACTCTAAGGGTGAATCTACACACAGGGGGAAAAATGTCGGGAAATCTACTGTTGAGAAGTGGAACTGTTATTTTTTCAACTCTGAAGCACATTTTTTCAACCTCTGAAGAACATCTTTCATATGATGTATATGCTGTTCTAGATTCTCTGAATAAATCAAAATTATATCAAAACAGTCCACCAGGACTCTGAGTATGTAGCTGATGAAATCTTAGAACGTTGCTGCTCCTGACTGAAATGTTATCTCCCGCTCTCTCCCTGCCTTCTCTTGGCAACCTTTGGGGCTCCATTTGGCTTAAAAGCTGGCATTCAGCTTTGCCACGTCAACTCATCCTGAGCCCTGAAGATCCTTCACCTATGCTTGGCAGTTCTCTCTTTGCTGCTCCTGGCTTCCCCAGGATTTTTAGGAAGTCGTTAGTCTGCACCAGGCGTCCTATTGGGAAAACCCAGTTTTCTGAGTTCATGTTCTGGGAGTTGTTCAATAGGGGCAGTACAGGATTCCTTTTGGTGTATTGACCTCCCCGCTGCACCAAGGATTCCCTGCCTGAGCTGCTTCCTGGAGACACCTAGTTTGGTTGTCCTAGGGGATTTTAACATCCAGATCTGCCGCAGTCATGTTTCAAAATGAAATAGCTTGGATCAAATGAAAATTTTATGAGGAGGATACAATGCCCAGGGGATTTATCCCTCAGGTAAATAACTCACGCTTCACCTGTCCCCACCAGATTGCTGGATCCTTGCAGTTACCTGAAGGAAGAGCATTTTCACAGGCTCATATCCCAAAATTATTATTAGTTGTAGTCATAATAGCATCAAACAGTTCTTTAAAAAAATATCCAAGTCGACCAATTGAAGAGGTTGAGTGGGCACATGCAGGGCAAGGAGATTTCAAAGGTGAATTGATGGACTCTTCATCTTACTTGAAGGAAGGGCAATCTTCACCTGTCTCCTCCTCCTCCTTCTCCTCTTCCTAACTCACCACCACCATATCTCCCAGACACCTTTTTCAAACAGGACTCAAGACAACTTTAAAAATAATTCAAAACTGGAGGGGATCTTCTTCTCTGCTTGCTCCACCTGCCATTTCCCACTCTGCACCCCATAATAATTGGCCAGCCTGTCCTTCCTTTTCTCCTTTCCACCCTAGAAGATGACAGATCCCCCTTTCTCCTTCCCAACCCTGTTTCTGAAGCCGCTTCACTCTTCTGTTTAAAACCCCCTGGAGTCGCTGTCAGTATGGCTGTAGATTGGGGGTGATGGCATCTCCAGATCAGAAACATCCAAAGGGCAACAGGTTCAGGTCCAGTCCTGGTACTTTCATGCCCAAGGTGCTTGGAACTGAAAGTGGGACACTTTGCATGGAATATATGGGAGCTATCTTAGATCCTGAGCTATCTAAACAAGGTGGAGGGGGGACGTTTTATGCCTCTGCACAACCATGCCTGCTGACACCTCCTTCTCATACAAGAAGTGAGGCATGCATGGCTTATGAGTTATAGAGAAACTAAAGCCTGTAATTGTACTCATCAGAGACTCAAGGACTACCCAGAAAAAAGGCTCTTCTAATGCATCAAAAAACCTTTCCCACTAATTAGACGCTACATGCGCCAAATTTCTTGAGAGACTTGTGGAAGAGACAAATCTAAATATTATTTTTAAAACGTATTCCACAGAGAGGTTAGGCTGGCCCGATTTTGGGTTCCGCCAGATTTTGTGCTGCGTTAAATTTGACAGAAGGAGCCTGTTGCTTTAACATCTCTAACCATGGTGTAGCTATTTGACACCTGGCAACAGAAAGAGAGAAAGTAACCCATGTTCCTGTCTCTACCTGGAACGGATGGGACATGTCTTGGTTAACTGAGTGGCTTAGAGGACTTGTAATGATGTTAATGGACTAATCTTGCTTCTTTTCTGCTCCTGTATACCCTGCTTAAATGCAATGCTTGCAAAATATGATGAGTAAAATGATGTCACGAATGATTCGGCCCCAGATTATAACACTGACATGAGAATACCAGCCAGTGCCTTGGGACGAGCCATAAGGCTGTCCAAAAGAAGAGGAGGGAATGAAGGAATGGGTTTCTGTGTAGTAAGTTTAAAACTGACTCAACCCCCCCCCTTTTTGTTTTTTCAAAAGAGAGCACTTTTAAAACTTGAGCTGTTGAGCAAAAACATAAACGAGCTCTCTCCTTTATCAGTCACGGCAAGGGATGGACTTGGCTCTCTAAGGGAACAAAGAAAACACGTCAGAACTTTATCTTGTGTGCTGACCACAAAATACGCGCAAGACCAACGTCCGGGGAAAACACCAAAAGCGTGTTCCTGGAGATTATGACATCTTCCCAGACAAGAGTAGGAAGAGGAAAATGCTTTTATGGTTGAGAGTACCAGAGCAGGAACATATGTGATGTCAACCTGCGTATACAAGTTGACGTGGCTGGGGAAGGGGGAGAGGATGCCTGGAGGATATATATACACTGCATGAAACTTGTCATTTCTTTGGACTTGCTGTGAACTTGATCACGCAAGTGCCTTCTGCTATCCAGAGACCAAAATAAACTCTTTCTTTGAACCAACTCGGTGTCATTTGACTTCCTTTCTCCTTTCCCGGAGCAACGCAGACCCAGTCGGTGAACTCCAATAAGGCTACACTGGCTGTATGCCAAGTTGGAAAAATGACAGTTTCACGTCTCAACAGTAGATTTCCCGACATTTCTCCCCGTTTGTTGATTCACCCTTAGAGTGGTGTGGTTCCTCCCCTCTCAGCGGACCTCTGAATCTCTTTG